GACATATGCATCCTATCCAAGCATGAAGACCCTAAAATAGCATCCGAACTGCTGTAGCGTCACATTCTAATGATTGAAACTTGGCACAAAATCTGGAGATTAAGAACCAAAAATTAGTCCACATCACTTTCACACTGAGGAAAGATACTTGCCCACCGATATTTATTAATGGAGAACAGATACCACAAGCAGTTGCCGTTAAATACCTGGGTATACATCTGGATAGGAAACTTAATTGGAAAGTACACATTCAGAAGAAAAGAAAACAACTAGAAGAAATATTCAAGAGCCTTTATTGGCTACTAGGAAGAAAATCTCAACTATCGATATACAACAAACTATTGATTTACAAAGTTATCCTAAAACCCATATGGACTTACGGAATTGCACTTTGGGGGACAGCATTTAAGAGCAATACAAAAATTATTCAAAAGGTTCAAAACAAGATACTAAGGATCATCCTAAACGCCCCAAAATATGTACCGGTATGGCTGCTCCACCAGGACACGGGCCTGCATACTGTAGAAGAAGAAATTGCAAGATACGCCATCAAACACAGTCACCGACTGGAGAACCATCCCAACGGGCTCGCTAAAGCACTCATCTCAGCAAACTACACCAAAAGACTAAAAAGGAAAACGCCCTTGGACCTAACTGGCATCCCAAGTCAATCTAGATTATAATCTTTTCTTAAATTAGGAGAGATTGCAACTGTGCACTCTCTCAAGCATTCAATAGTTTATTTTGAAGACAGCTTCTCTGTTATTTTGTTATCCATAAAATTTATCTAATGTCCATTGGACAGATGTAAATTATATCCAAATAAAAAAAATAAAAAAAAATTGATAGGAAGATGTGCTGATTAGTTTTTGGAAAAGGCAGGTACAGACATTACAGAGATACGGAGCAAAGAGTACAGAAAATAGAAATCGAAGTTTTAGAGAACGGAGTATTCGATTTGAATGATTCAAAAAACATTCAATTTGTAATAATTGGGAGAAGTTGTTTAGATTTGGAGACAGCCGTTTTGGAGATACCGAGCTAATTGAGCAAAAAATGGTAGTTTTTGAGAGAACTAAGCATCTGATTTGAATGATTCAAAAACGTTTTGCTTGTTTTGACAAAATAAACGCTTTTGACAATGTTTTTTTTTTGTATATCAAAAATAATTCAGATTTTAATTTCAATTCTGGATAAAATTCTAAAGCTTATTTATATACCCTAAATAAATAATTTTAACTTTGCATTTCAGTTTATATAGCTCTTATAAATATTAGACAATGTTATAGAATTCATAATAATCTGTTTCAAAACATTTAATATTCCTCGAACGGAAAGTTCCAGCAATTTTCCTTAATTCACGATGCCATACACAACTAGTTTTTATTGTTTATTTCGGATATAAAATCGCAATATTTGCTGATGACATATGCATATTATCATGTCACGAAAGCTTGAAACATTTGCTTTTGCTTTGAGAAAGAAAACATGTCTCTCCGTCACAATAAATGAAATCCAACTACCTCATAGTACGGGAGGTAGCAACGTTTTCGAGAAAGCATTTTAGTCAGGCTGGTTTTTTGGTATGCGGTCCTTGGTGCTCTCTCGATTAGGGTACGGGCCGTCTGGTAGCTGGAAGCGGCTGCGTTAATTAGTGCGCAGCCAACTTTTACGGCGTGATTTCAAAATTTTGAAAGCAATTTAGTCAGTCCAATTTTCATTTTTTTGACTTCGAATAGGTTCACCATACTCACATTTTTTGTTGCCAGACATTTTGGGCGCTGCTAAATATGTATCAGACGCCAATTTATTTATAAATTTTTTTAAAAATTTAAATCATTTTAGTCCGTCTGAAATTTTAATATTATGTTCGTTAAGGGTAAAAACACATAAAGTTAATTTGCCAGACGTTTTTGCGGTCTAAAGGAAAAAAGGAGAAAAATATTGGTCTAAGATAATGTCTATGCGAACAGATTTTATCTGGCAAATACAACTCAGAAACTTTTTAGAGATGCCGTCATAGGTTTGTGGTACATCTTTCATGAGATGCAACTGAAAAAAAAATCATCAACTATACAAACATCAAACGATGACGGTGGTTGATCGGTAGCGTTGTTTCATTTGCGCCAATGTATTTGGCGATTGTGTCACTCTGTCTTCTAGTATTATATTGCCAGACATTTTTGATTGCCAGACATTTTTGATTGCCAGACATGGTTAACAACCGCAGAAACGTCTGGCAAATTAATTTTATGTATTTTCACCCTTAACGGACATAATATTAAAATATTAGACGGACTAAAATGATTTGATTTTTTAAAAAAATTAATAAATAAATTTGCGTCTGGCACATATTTAGCAGCGCCCAAAATGTCTGGCAATAAAAAATGTGAGTCTGGTGAACCTATTCGAAGTCAAAAAATGAAAATTGGACTGACTAAAATGCTTTCAAAATTTTGAAATCACGTGAATTGACATTTTGATAGTTCTCACCTCAGGTGTCAAACAATAAATTTTTTTTTCCAACTTCTTGACTTTTTTCTCCATGATTACTATATTTGATTAGTCTGAGAGCAGTTTAGTGACAACACACGTACAGTAGACTAATATATAAGATATATGCATATAATAAAAATAAAAGATAATCTAATGACGCATTATGCCTTAGAAAATACCTATATAATTAAAGCTCATTAAGGTTCATTAAAATGATGAATTAAAAAAATGCGCACAGCTTTATGCTATTTTAGTTTAAAAAGCAATAATTTATATGATTCTACATTTACATCGCTATCAAACGGGAGTTAGGAATAAAATATTCTTTAACAAGCTCTGCCATATTTTAACGAATACCGACCAATTAAAGTTTCTGTGATAATAATCTATAGGATGATTATAAAAAGTATTAAAAATAATACAAAAAAAAACATAAAATAATATCTACATGCATCGGATTTAAAATAGCAAAACTTATGTAAAATAACATTTGAGTACAATGAGGTTTTTTGAATTATTCAAATTCGATGCTTTGTTCTCTCAAAAACTGAACTATCTATTTTGGCACTTTTTTCCCTGTATCTCCAAAGCGACTAGTCCTGTCTTTGCCAAAAAGTAACCAACACGTCTCCCTATCAATACGAATAAAAATGTTTTTTAAATTATTCAAATCGGTTGATCCGTGTTCCTGAAATCGTCGACGAAAATTTGTATCCGCGCGCACACACATACACACACATGCACACACATATACACGCACACATACACACACATACACACACACACATACACACATACATCCATTTTTCTAAGGTATGCCAAAATGTTCAAAAACCTTAGAAAAGTAAAGGCATATGAACATTTATATTTTCGATTTTTCGATTACTACGAGAACATGCCTCGTATAACTTACCATACGGGAAGTTAATAGTCTATTTGAAAATATTTAAAACTGTAGTACTTATTTATAGAATAATTTTCATTGATAATTGAATATTTTCATTCCTCGAATGTTTAACTACGGTACGGAAGATTTCAGCAATTTGCCATAAGCAGTGGCGAACCTAGAACTTTCGCCACCCGGGGCGATCTCCAGATTGCCGCCCTTTCAATTATAAGTCAGTCAAATAGTAGTTTTCATAAATTAATACAAATAAAGTAGTGGTGCATGGCATCGTGCCTTAAGGCAAATTGCTGGAACTTCCCGTACCAAAAATTATTATTTTTTAAAAAACAATTAACATTTTTGAAAAAGTTTTACTTAAAAAAAAATAGATTTTTGAGAAACTATAACTTTGACACAAAATTAATTTAAAAAAAAAAAAATATATTGAAAAAAACGCTCCGTTCTCTTATAAACTGAGTTACCATATTTGGCACTTTTTGCCCCGTATCTTTGGAACGGCCAGACCTACCTGCGCCAAAAACTAATCAGCACGTCTCCTTATCAATATAAATCGAATGTTTATCGGTTGATCGGTGTTCCCGAAATCGTCGATGAAAATTTGTATCCGCACACACACATACACACACACACACATACATCCATTTTTTTTAAGGTATGCCAGAATGTTCAGAAGGTTTTGAAACGTAAAGTTATATAAAAATTTTCATTTTCGATTTTTTTGCGATTACTATAACTTGCCCTACGGGAAGTTAATAAATACTGTAACTTTTATATGTTTACAGAAAAGTAAAGGATATTGTCTAATATTTATAAGAAATATATAAACTGAATTACAAAGTTAAAATTATTTATTAAGTATACGAGTATAAGTGAGCATTTGAACATTAGGCAGAATTCAAATTAAAATTCACGTAGAAAGTTTTTTGAATCATTCAAATCGGATGCTTAGTTTTTTCAAAAACAGATATTATTTGCACATTTTGCTTGGCATCTCCGAAACGATTGGATCTGCCTTTGCCAAAAACTAATCACCACTTCTCCTCATCATTAAAAATTGAAGTTTTTTGGATCAATCAAATCGGATGTTTCTTTCTCTCAAAAACTCATTTATATTTTCTGTACCCTTTGATTCGAATCTCCGCAACGGCTGGACTAATCAGCACATCTCCCTATCAATAGAATTCGAATGTTTTTTCAACCATTCAAATCGGTTGATCCATGCGCCCGAAAACGTGAACGAAAACATGCAGACACACAAAACACACACACTTCCATTTTTTCTGAGGTATGCCAAAATGTTCAGAAACCTTCAAAACGTGAAGAAATGCAAAAAATTTCATTTTCGATTTTCGGCGCATTACTGTAACTTACCGTACGGAAGTTAATAAATATGAAATGAATAAGTTGCTTTTTATAACTAAATATAAGTAAACTAAAAAATGCCGCCCCAAAAAAAGTGCCGCCCGGGCCGGACCGCCCCCCCTAGGTACGCCACTGGCCATAAGGCATAATGCCATGCACAATTATTTCAGCCCAATAGCTTATAAGACGTTAGGTTTTATATGCCGTTAAAATATTAGAAAACATAAATTGCCGCAACTAAAATTGTTAAACAAATTCTATTTAAATTCACAGAATTTATCATATCTAAATTCACTAAATATTTAAATTCACAGAAAATAAAAATCAAAGTTTTCCCAAACCTGGTTTGACATTTCGGCGTCGACACAAACAAATTCCACGCTTTCGGTACGCAACGCTAAACTTCTTAAAACAAAGTTCTATTTCTGAACATGCCAACAATTTTCTATGAACACAGCCAACTACTCGGATTATAGAATAAATTACACTTTGCACTTTGACCTATTCACTAAAAAATAAAAATTTAAATTTAATTCGATCAATACAATATGATGTCCAAGATGTCGCGCGATTGTATTATCTCTATGATAGTTATTTCATATTTACTCGACTACAGCTCGGTGGCCTGGAGTCATGCATGTTCGTAGGATTTCGTGGGCGAATGGCTTAAATTACCCGGTTTAAAAATAACTGCTCTAAATAAAGGACAACTTCATAGATTCACGCGATCATTCTACTAGACTAGTAATTGCCGTGATTTCGCATCTAAATTACGCCAGTGACGATTGAAAAAATAATTGTACCTGGCCGCAACCGATTGGTAAATGTTAAGAAGGATAATCAGTAAAATCGTAACAGGTGTACGGTGAAAAGTGCAAAATTTCTTTGGATGATAAAGCGATAAAGCATAATGATATTAGTGGCATGTGGCAGTGATAAAAATTAGGTTATAATAAAAATTGAGTTATAATAAATATTGAGTTATAATAAAAATTGAAAGCGCAAAATGGATTTGAAAACCGATGTCTGGGGTCAAATTGCCTTGGAAGCATCCCAGGTGTATTTGACGGATGGAGTTTATAGAAGTCCCTTTGCTGATACGGTACAATCATGTATTTTTTTCTAATTACGTAAAATTTCAACTGGGACGCTTAGAATTGTATTGTAACATTTAGAATAAATATTTATACATAAAGTGAATTTATCTATATTTGCACATTAAGTAATAATTATTATAATTTTTATTGGATGTGTGTGTGTGCAAATGTGTGTGTGTGTGCATGTGCGTGTGTGTGTGCGGATACAAATTTTTGTCGACGATTTTGCGAACATGGATCAACCGATTTTAATAATTGAACAAAACATTCTATTTCTACTGAAAAGAAATCGTGCTGATTAGTTTTTGGCAAAGGTCTAGCCGTTTCGGAGATACGGGGCAAAAAGTGCCAAAAATGGTATTTTAGTTTTTGAGATAACGGAGCTTACCTAAATAATTTAAAACACATTGTAAATGTATTGAAGAATTGAGCAACTGGTAAAACTTTTGTGAAGGCAGGTCCAGCGTCTCCGGAGACCCAATACAAAAAGTAAACTAGTGAGGAGCCTAGCAACGTACCTTAAGGCAAATTGCTGGAACTTCCCGTACCGTAATTATTAATTAAACATTCGAAGAATGAAAATAATTAATTTTTTTTTTGAATATGTTCAAATTAATTATTTATTATAAATACATACTGTAAATTCATAAGTGCTTATTAAATTGGGCGACGAGCGTATTTTATAAACTACTTACCCTTATGTTTACAAGAAATTTGTTCTTTTTTTTTAAATTTGATTTTTTCGATATTTTAGATTTTTTTTTCAAAATTTTGAATTTTTTTAGAAGTTTGAAATTTTTTGCAATTAAAAAGAGAACGTTTTTTGTAATTTTTTTTGAGGATTTGAAAAGGGTATGGCAGTGTTTTCATACAGAATTGGCCCTACCCTGGTATTTAAATAATTTTGATGCCATTTTATAGGTATTTTTGAGAAAATCCAATATACCAAATTTCAAATCCGTATCTCATCATTTGGCCGAAATATCATTGAAAATGTGTGAAAGTGCCCCTTTTTTCAAAGTCGTTTTTTGTCGCAACTGTGAAAGATATTGACAAACCAATAACGCTAGTCTATTCACATCGATATGTACTATATTATTAATAACAAATATTGTTTAATAATTATTTGTTAGTGCATGAAAAAGTGAAAATAATTGTTTGTTTTGAATTTTTGGGTAGTGCGGTTGTTTGGACTAATTTTTAATTAACATCATTAGAAAGAGTATACAATTTTCTTTTACTGTCCATAATTTTGTTTCATTTCATGTGGTAGAATATATTCAAAAGTAGAAAAAACCAGAGTAAGTACACGCTTGCGCTCATATAACACCCGTGTAAATCGTCTCTGATTTGCAACGACTTGCAACAGCACTGCTCGTCGCGCGTCTTGATAAATTCTGCATATAAGTAATAGTCTGAGCCAGTGAACTATTTGACTAACCTGTTTTCTTAAAGCTAGATAATTTTTTAATGGTATTTATTATCGGTACATTAAGAAAGTGCCGGTCTGGCAAGCATCTCGCGATTGCGTCTTCATCCCTCGAGTTTTTGAAAATGTAAAAAAAATAATTTTTTATAACTTGCTTTCACAAGGCTTAAATTTTGAGAGTGTATTCTTTTAACTGTTCAGAAAGCATATATAAAAAGCCAGACCATTCTGACGGTCACGACGCGCAAGGATGTGGGCGCATTGCCATACATAGTCGACTAATACCATCGTACTTGAATAATTTATACGCCATTTTGAAGGTCATTTTGAAAACATCCGATATACCAAACTTCAACTTTGTATCTCACCTTATGGCCGAGATATCATTTAAAATATGCCAAAGTGGCACCTTTTTCAAACTCAATTTTTGGCGTAACCATAAAAGATATCGAAAAAAAAATTAAGTGATTCTACTCATATTGGCTTAGACCACATAATGTATAGTAATATATGCTAAATAATCCTTCATTATTAGCTAAAAAGGATAAAATAATTTTTCAATTGATGTTTTCGGATGGTGCGTTTTGTTCAATCACCTTCTTATTAGCGTTATTCGAAAGCCTATTGTTTTCTCTTTTAGTGCTGCAAAAATTGTTCAAATCAAATTTGTGGAACACATTGAAAAAATGAACAAACCAGAACCAGTACACCCGCGCGTAACGCTAATAGTATCCCGCATAGAATTCGTTCGGTCGGAAAGCAGTGCGCGCGGGTATACAAACTCTGGTTTCTTCAATTTTTAAATGTGTTCCACAAATTTGATTTGAAAAATATTCTCTGTACTAAAATTTATAAATTGTAAAAATCTGAGTACGGAACTCAAAAAACAATTACACATAATGTGGACATATTATTACCTTCCCGTAGGGCAAGTTATAGTAATCGCAAAAAAATCGAAAATGAAAATTTTTATATATCTTTACGTTTCAGAGGTTTCTGAATATTTTGGCATACCTTAGAAAAAATGGATGTATGTGTGTGTGTGTGTGTGTGTATGTGTGTGTGTGTGCGTGTATGTATGTGTGTGCGGATACAAATTTTCGTCGACGATTTCGGGAACATTCGGCATTTTTTTTACTTTTTTCATTAGATCTCCGAAACCGCTAGATCTGCTTTCATAAAAATTTGTTGAATTCTTCATCTTGTCAATACAAGTAAAATGTTTTTTTGAATTATTAAAATCGGACGCTCCTTTCTCTTAAAAACTGTGTTATCGTTTTTGGCACTTTTTGCCCCGTATCTACCTAAAATAATGAAACGTAAAGATATATAAACGTTTTCATTTTGGATTTTTGATTACTATAATTTACCCTGCAGGAAGTTAAAAATAATGTCATGTGGCGGTCAAAAATGATCATTAGACATATGTACAACGTATTATCAGATATTTTATAAAGATTATAATAATAAGTACAAATATTGTGAACATTTATATGTGTTCTGTAGCAATGTTTACACGTTATTTCGAATCAAATCAGCCATGCAGCGCGATTGCTTAAAATAATGTTAACAATTTTCAAAATAAATAAAATACTGAAAAAAAAAAAAAATAATGAAATTTTTTAAAGCTTCAACTTTTTTCAAAAATATCAAAATTTCTCAAAAATCTAATATTTTTAATGTTTTGCAAAGTTTTTTTTAATAATTTAGTTTTTGGTACGAGAGTTCCAGCAATTTGCTTTAAAGCACTATGTACCACTAACTGAAAAAGCTTTGAACACCAGAAAAATGTTTTTTTACATTTTCTGCGAAAATCTTCTAAAAATTCTTTCACATATAAAGCAGGTGGCTCCTCTAAGAATATGTCAATTTACTGTTTGGTAAAATAATGAAAGTCTGTTAAAATTAGTATTATTACGTTTATAGAATATTTCACCATGTCAGAATCGCCGCATAAAAATTTTACAATCGATCAAAACCTACAGATTTTTGTATACAAAATTTAAAATAGCTTAATGTTTAGAAACATTTACAATTATCATTAGCTTATTCTTTCAGAAAATAACATGAAAAATTAACTTTTAAATTTTGCACAAATATATTATTTATATAATACTAGCGGCACCACATCACGCGTTGCTGTGTTATACATATAAATAACTAGTTGTGTATGGCATCGTGCCTTAGGGCAAATTGCTGGAACTTCCCGTGCCATAACGAAATGTTCGAGAAATATTAAATGTTTTCAAATAGATTATAAATTATTATAAAACTGTTAGATTGTCTAATATTTATAAGAATTATATAAACTATGAATAAAAATAAAATATAAATGAGCTTTAGAACTTTAACCAGAAATAAAATTAAAATCTGAATTATTTTCGATATACAAACAAAAAAAAATTCTGAAAAAAATGGATAAAAATGTTTTGAAAAAAACATTTTTTTCCAAAAGCAATTATTTTGCCAAAACAAGCAGAAAGTTATTTGAATCATTCAAATCGGATGCTTAGTTCTCTCAAAAACTGCAATTTTTTGTACATGTAGCCTTGTATCTCCGTACGGTCTAAACCTGCCTTTGCCAAAAACTAATCAGCAAATCTTCTTATTAATAGGAAACGACACAAATCGGTTGATTCGTGAGTCCGAAAACGTGGACGAAAAAATGAGGACATACAAAACACACACACACACATACACACATCCATTTTTCTGAGGCATGCCAAAATGTTCACAAACCTTCAAAACGTGAAGATATGCAAACATTTTCAATTTCGGTTTTCAGCCCATTACTATACATACTACCCTATGGGAAGTTAAAAATATAAACAAAAAATGCGATTTTGTTACATCAAGTTATCAAGATGAAAAATAGTACTTTTATCTTTTGTGATTGATGGTTAAGCTGTATTAGATGCAGTGAAAAATCTGCATTCAGCATCCAAACTGTGAAAACCCAACAACATACATCACAGCACATAACACATCAACCAACTATTGAAATATGTTCATAAATATTCGCAGTTATTGCCTAAATGTACAAATATATTTATTAACTTCCCGTAGGGTAAGTTACAGTAATCGCAAAAAAATCGAAAATAATTTTTTTATATATCTTTACGTTTCAGAGATTTCTGAATATATTGGCATACCTTTGAAAAAATGGATGTGTGTGTGTGCGTGTATGTATGTGTGTGCTGATACAAATTTTCGTCGACGATTTCAGGAACACGGATCAACCGATTTGAATAATTCAAAAAACATTCGATTTGTATTGATAAGGAGACGTGCTGATTAGTTTTTGGCGAAGGCAGGTCTAGCCGTTCCGAAGATACGGGACAAAAAGTGCCGAAAACGGTAACTCAGTTTTTAAGAGACCGGAGCGATTTGAATAATTCAAAAAACATTTCTCTTATATTAACACGATGAAGAATTGATTAAATTTTCATAAAGGCAGGTCTAGCGGTTTCGGAGATCTAATGAAAAAAGTAAAAAAAAATGCCATTCGGCGGTTAAAAATGATCATTTGACATATGCACATCAAATTATCAGATATTTTATAGAGATTTTAACAAT